ACATATATACACATAGGTATACATATATACACACATGGGTATACATATATACACACATAGGTATACATATATACACACATAGGTATACATATATACACACATAGGTATACATATATACACACAGGTATACATATATGCACACATACATATGTATACATACATACACACATACATAGGTATACATATATACACATACATAGGTATACATGCATAGGTATACATATATACACATAGGTATACATACATACACACATAGGTATACATACATACACAAAGGTATACATACACACATAGGTATACATACATACATAGGTATACATATATACACATACATAGGTATACATATATACACACATACATAGGTATACATATATACACACATACATAGGTATACATATATACACACATACATAGGTATACATATATACACACATACATAGGTATACATATATACACATACATAGGTATACATATATACACACATAGGTATACATACATAGGTATACATATATACACACATAGGTATACATATATACACACAGGTATACATATATGCACACATACATATGTATACATACATACACACATACATAGGTATACATATATACACATACATAGGTATACATGCATAGGTATACATATATACACATAGGTATACATACATACACACATAGGTATACATACATACACAAAGGTATACATACACACATAGGTATACATACATAGGTATACATATATACACATACATAGGTATACATATATACACACATACATAGGTATACATATATACACACATACATAGGTATACATATATACATACATACATAGGTATACATATATACACATACATAGGTATACATATATACACACATTCATAGGTATACATATATACACATTCATAGGTATACATATATACACATTCATAGGTATACATATATACACACATACATAGGTATACATATATACACACATACATAGGTATACATATATACACATACATAGGTATACATATATACACACATAGGTATACATATATACACATACAAAGGTATACATATATACACACATACATAGGTATACATATATACACACATAGGTATACATATATACATACATAGGTATACATATATACACTCATAGGTATACATATATACACATTCATAGGTATACATATATACACATACATAGGTATACATATATACACATACATAGGTATACATATATACACATACATAGTTATACATATATACACACATGTATACATATACGTATACACATATATATATATATATATATATATATATATATATATATATATATATATATATATATATATATATATATATATATATATATATATATATATATATATACACACATACATATATATATATACACATACATATATATATACATACATATATATTTACATATATATATATACATATACATATATATACATACATATATATACACATACATATACACATATACAAATATATATACACAAGTATACATATATATATATACATACGTATACATATATATACCTACGTATACATATATATATATATATATATCTATGTATGCATATACATTCGTATAAATATATACACATATGTATACGTATTCATATATATACGCACATTAGCATACATATATATACATATGTATACATGTATATACATACATACGCATGCATATATATATATATATATATATATATATATATATATATATATATATATATATATATATATATATATATTACATATACATATATATATATATACATATATTTATAGACATGTATATCAATATACATTTGTGTATATATTATACACTTGTGTATATGTATACATATATAAGTATAATATATACACAAATGTATATTGATATACATGTCTTTAAATATATATATATACATATATTAGCATACATATATACATACGTATATATACATACATACGCATGCATATATATACATACGTATACATATATTTATAGACATTTGTATATCAATATACATTTGTGTATATATGATACACTTGTGTATATGTATACATATACACATACGTATACATACACATGAACACAAATATACATACATATATACATAAATAAAAGACACACACACAAGATTAGTTCAGGTATTGTTGACTGAAAATATAGGAATTTGGAAGCGGCAGGTAAATTCAGATTGACAGCGTGTTCCTGCCTGACATTTCATACTTTCATAATCTAACAAGAAAGGTGATCAGTACTGAACACTTGATATCTGTAGCCCAGAAGAATGACGGCAACATGCACAACAAACTCTTGTGCCAGTCGTAATTGAGAACAGTTGGCATGGAAACACCCACAAGCTGTGTTTACGTTAATCACCTCATTATGGGGGGCCCAACCTAGGAGGTCGTCGTGGGTGCCCACTTGAACCTCACCAACTAAAGGTAAGGGGAAGGAACTATTTACATTTCAATCAACGCGACGATACATGAAGATGATTGAGCAGCCAACAAAACATCAACCCTCCCCTCCCATACCCCCCTTGATGTTGTGGGTGGTTAGGGGCGTGATTGTCACAAAAGCAAAGGCAAACACAACAAAAACTTTAAGGTGGGGCGGCGGCCTAAAGTGTGTGTGCGGCGGGGCGGCCTTTTAAAATATGCCACCATAGGTAATTGCATAAACAAGACCTGAGCTGGGTACACCCCGAGCAACTTTTAGCAATGTTGCCCCCACACAGGGGGGACAACTGGACGCAACCCGTTCCTCTTTTACGGCAGGCTCAGGAGCCTCACGCCAGCACAACCTTCCAAGATGATACACTTAAGATATTGTATAGTTTTAGAGGAGGAAGAGGAGAGAGAAGTCATCGGCCTACGTTGATGATGGCTCCCGTGTGTCTGCTGACCAATGTTGAGACCGTCCCCAAAACACTCACTGCTTCACACCACATTTCCACCACTCCACTTCTCTTCAAACACTCTTTCCCTTCACTGACCACACCCACGGTTCACTACGACTTTACTTGTGGTACACTACGAGGATATAAAGCTCACTGTGCTTACTTTTCGCCATTAAAACAGTCTATGGCTGAGCGACGTGGTACTCGGCAGCCATTCCGCGGGTAACACTGAGGGGCCGCTAGCCTCGGCCCGGGACCCCGCTAATCCTCGCTATCTCTACACCCTTTACCACCCTTTAACTCCTCTACGCAATATTACACCCTTATCAAACCCCTCTTCCATCTGACCACCCCTATACGCTCCGTATTTTAATGGAGTGCTGGACCACGCGAAATTAAATTTTGAGTGTAAAGCGCAAATATAAGTTGCAGTAAAAACGTATGGCGTTGGATGGCCGACTTGCCAGAAGTCTTCATTTGAGATCTTCCGATTTTGAGGGTGCGGGCCTAGAACCACATGATAGGTTGATTGGTTGGTGGGGTTGTGTCAATTGGTTAAGGTGTGGTGGGTGAGAGTGCTTTGCGGGTGAGATAAGCAGAGTGAATAAGAATGTGAAGGTGGTGCGGGTGGTGACACTGGCCAAGTTTGGCTCGCCTGTCGCGAGCCCTGGCGTCCGAACACACGCACATTTACACACGCACGCACACACGCATACACACACACATACTGTACGTACATATCAACATACATACATACATACATACATACATACATACATACATACATACATACATACATACATACATACATACATACATACATACATACATACATACATAAACACATATATACATAAACACACACATACATAAACACACACACACACACACACACACACACACACACACACACACACACACACACACACACACACACACACACACACACACACACACACACACACAATGATTAAGAAAAGATGAAGATTAACACAGGAAAACAGCATGAGAATCCAAGATGACCTGGACAAACTAAAGGAATGGTCCAACAAATGGCAAATGGTTATTAGAGTTTAACCTAAGCAAATGTAACATAATGAAGATAGATGTAGGCATCAGGAGGCCAGATACAAGGTGCCATTTGAGAGATGAAATCCTTTAACAATTAGGGAGTGATTTAGGAATCAGGAGGCCTGGTCAGACTGGGTCCAGGGAACCTTGACCGAACCGAGAAAGACCTGAGAGTTGATATCACGCCAGACCTCTCCCTTGAAGCCAACATCAAGAGGATATCATCAGCGGCATATGCCAGGGTGGCCAACAAAATAACTGCCTTTAGAAACTTATGTAAGGAATCATTCAGAACGTGGTATACTAAATATGTCAGACCAATCCAGGAGCTTTACGCTGGAGCTCCAGCATAGAGTCCGTATCTAGTCAAGCACAAGACTAAATTGGAGAAGGTTCAAAGATATGCCACCAGACTAGTACCCGAGCTGAGGAGTATGAGCTTCGAGGAGAGACTACGGGGCCTGAAACTCCCGTCGCTGAAGATAGAAAAGTTAGTATAACATCATCATGCGCGTGTGTTAGAGAGAAGTATATGTGGTAGATATAATAGAGGAAAAATAAATGGCTAGAAAGGCGGGGTCCAAGAGCTAATAGCTCGATTCTGCAGACACAAATAGTAAATAGTAAATACACAGACTAGTACCCGAGTACTAGTATGGGGCTTTGCGGCTATAGTGGACTGCGCTCTGGGGTTGTAGTCCTAAAGGCCAGGCAGAAACAAATGGCTAGAATTTCTTTCACCCAGGTTCACCTGTTCACCTAGCAGTAAATAGGTACATGTGAGTTAGCCAGCTGCTACGGGCTGCTTCCTGTGTGTGTGTGTGTGTGTGTAAGAGAAATATAAGTAGATAAGTAATAAGTAGAAATATATGTAGTAGACATAATAGAGGATTATGTGTTCACAAATAGTAAATACACACACACATTAGGTGAGCACATTGTGGAAGCAAACACTATTCATAGCTTTAAAATTAGGTATAATAAGTCACCTATTTAAAGTCATTGCTTTCAACAACCGAAGTCTATAGAAAGGCGGGGATCCAAGAGCCGACGCTCGATCCTGCAAGCACAAATAGATGAGTAAACACACACACACACACAAATGTAGATATGATAGAGCCCAGTAGGCTCAGTAATCTGTACACCAGTTGATTGACAGTTGAGAGGCGGGACCAAAGAGCCAAAGCTCAACCCCCGCAAGCACAAATAGGTGAGTACAAATAGGTGAATACACACACACACACACACACACACACACACACACACACACACACACACACACACACACACACACACACACACGTCCGAATGATTTAATTATAAGGCAACAGGTATAACAAGACTAGGAGATGTCAGATCCATGTCAGCTCTCGCCGCCCCGTGGTTACTGACAGGTAGATACTAATATGTTGTTGTTATAGATTCAGCTACTCGGAACCAGTTCCAAGTAGCATGGGCTATGGTGAGCCCGTAGTGGACTTACCTGACACAGGAGCGGTGCTGAGAGAGGAGATACTAATAGGTCAGCACACAATTTAATCCTAAGAATCCTAAACCATTTACCACGTATGTATGAGGCTACGGGGGGGGGGGGGTTATCTCAATTCATAACTGTGAAGTGGGAATAATTCTTTATATATAACAATAAACAATCCTTTAATATCTCCATATCTAAAATATTTTATTAACAAAAGACCAAACTTCAATGTATAATAATTTATTGTAAATACATAGATATTGTAATTAAAAAATGTATGTAACTAGTTGATGTTATACTAGTAATGTGAGTAGGTACGTGTATACTTATAATTATAAGTATACTAATAATTTGAGTAGGTTAGGTGTAATTGTTAATGTAAACATCTCCGACCTTTTGCCTTCCGTAATCCTTCCTTGTGCTACCGCTCACAGGATGACCATGGGGTGCACAACCAACTACCGCTCACAGGATGACCATGGGGTGCACAACCAACTACCGCTCACAGGATGACCATGGGGTGCACAACCAACTACCACTCACAGGATGACCATAGGGTGCACAACCAACTACCACTCACAGGATGACCATGGGGTGCACAACCAACTACCGCTCACAGGATGACCATAGGGTGCACAACCAACTACCGCTCACAGGATGACCATGGGGTGCACAACCAACTACCACTCACAGGATGACCATAGGGTGCACAACCAACTACCACTCACAGGATGACCATGGGGTGCACAGCCAACTACCACTCACAGGATGACCATGGGGTGCACAACCAACTACCGCTCACAGGATGACCATGGGGTGCACAACCAACTACCGCTCACAGGATGACCATGGGGTGCACAACCAACTACCACTCACAGGATGACCATAGGGTGCACAACCAACTACCACTCACAGGATGACCATGGGGTGCACAGCCAACTACCACTCACAGGATGACCATGGGGTGCACAACCAACTACCGCTCACAGGATGACCATGGGGTGCACAACCAACTCGCCGCTGCAGACAGCAACAACCGTTGCTACGTACATTGGTGAGGTTGCCTGAACATTGGTGAGGTTGCCTGAACATTGGTGAGGTTGCCTGAACATTGGTGAGGTTGCCTGAACATTGGTGAGGTTGCCTGAACATTGGTGAGGTTGCCTGAACATTGGTGAGGTTGCCTGAACATTGGTGAGGTTGCCTGAACATTGGTGAGGTTGCCTGAACATTGGTGAGGTTGCCTGAACATTGGTGAGGTTGCCTGAACATTGGTGAGGTTGCCTGAACATTGGTGAGGTTGCCTGAACATTGGTGAGGTTGCCTGAACATTGGTGAGGTTGCCTGAACATTGGTGAGGTTGCCTGAACTGGCAACTCTCGCGCGCCCTGTAGACACATTCCCTAAACCTTCCCCACCTATCGAATCATCCTTCCATGTGCCATTGAGTTAATTGAGAAACCACAATTCAACTACTGTCTGGCTGTCTTGTTTTTGTCTTGTAACTAGTAGCAGTGGACTTACCTACCACGCTGGACGACCCGCTACTGCATGCAATAACTCACAAAAAATTCACAAAAAATATTTACAAAACTTCCCTTCCCTTTTTCCACTTATTCCCTTCATTCCAGACCATTTTCCCCCTGCAAAGTTGGGTGAGGTTAGCCCCCGAAGTGTCTGTCCTCTTTGAACATTCTCTCTGTTCACTTGGGACAGTTAAGCAAGTCCCAGCTGTGTCTGGGTACAAGTAACAGCGTGAACAACCCAGCGGGTTTTCTTCCTATTGAGATTTATGGAAAAGAAGAAAGTGAAAATGACATTGAAGCCTTCAAGTAAAAGAAAGTAGTTCTCCAACTGCATACATCTCTGGTGCACTCCCCAATTGGACTGCTCTGTGCAAACATAGAGACCGCCTGTCCAGATAGACTGAGCTGCGTTGGAGAAAGCACAACACCAGACAGATCTCATCGAAAGTTTTAAAATACTGAACAATTTGGAAGATAACAGATGTAACACAAACAAGGCGCAACAGTTTTAAGCATAACAAGCCACAATGAAGGACATAAAACAGGAGATGATCTTTCACCACATAAACCCTTGGAACTGCCTATCCGCCGAAGCCGCAAATGCCAAAATAATGTTAAATTTTAAAATCCGGCTTGAAAAAGTCTTTAGGACAAAATAGGGGGACTTTTTGACAAGCCGGAGGCGTCCTGTCCTCGTCGAGGCCAATAGTGTTAGTGGCCCCTCAGGTAAATTCAGGTAAATAATTTGGTATTTGTTGGCTAGTGATAGATGACTTAGTTTGTTTGCTGCATCATACCTAGCCAATGTTCAGTCGTCTATTGTCGCTGTATTTGACCATTATTTCCCTGTTGTTTGTAGAGTTAATTATTAATTTATTTATTTAGAAGAAGGTACATTGGGTTGTGAGACTACCTAATAAACTACTACTAAATTGAATATAATATCAGCTGGTTCTTACATTCTTGCAGCACGCGTAGCGTTCTCTGGTGGTGATCTGGTTATGTGTAGAACCTATATGTTCATTGATAGGGCCTTGCTGTTTGTGCATTTTTAGGCGTCTTGAAAGAGATGTTATTGTCTTGCCTATATATTGAGTTCGTTGGGGCTGACGGTCCCCAAGTGGGCATATGAACGCATAGACGACAATCGCCTCCTTCAAGAGGTTTTGTATGGTGTCTGAAAAGTTTTTCATGAACAAGTTGGCAGTGGCTTCTTGCTCTTATAGTATATTATT